TACATTTCTGACCTCCTGCTAAATTATGAACCATCCAGATCTCTCAGGTCTTCAGGGACTGGTCAGCTTTCTGTCCCCAGAGTCAGAACTAAACATGGTAAAGCAGCGTTCAGTTATTATGCTCCAAATATCTGGAACAAACTCCCAGAAACCTGCAGGTCCGCTGCAACTCTGACTACTTTTAAATCCAGGCTGAAGACTTTTCTTTTTGTCGCTGCTTTTAATTGAACTATTCATATCTTAGACTGCACTGTAACTTTTATCCATGTATTTTTTCTTTTAATGTTTATTTTATTAGCTTTTCTTTTTAATGACTGATTTTAAATGCCATTTTCTTAATGTCTTTCATTTTTTGTAAAGCACTTTGAATTGCCTTGTGTTGAAAAGTGCTATATAAATAAACTTGCCTTGCCTTGCCTTCAAATAAAAAATATGATGTTGTTTTCTGTATTATACAGTTAAAACACAAATCATGTATCCTTATTGCATTTTGGCCTTTCACTCCACTTGACAGGTCTAGGTTTATACCATTCTTTTTACCACCTTTCTTCTTTTCCATCTTTTTCTTGGGTTGGAAACTGCGTTAACATCTGCAGATCAGTTGGAGGCCACAAGGCTCAACTTTTTTTCTTCTGCTCAAGTCAACCAGCGTTGTGGCAAACACTGTATTGAATGGGAACAATGAGAGGCCGATGTGACGCAGCCGATTCCCCCCCTCACACTCTCTCTCTTTCTCTGATCCCCTCCGTACCCCCACCTTAACTCAATGAAAGGAGCCATTGTCTTTGGCCTGGATTGAACAACTCACACCGTACTTTTCCTCTGAGGTCTTAAAAACTTTGCCTGCTTACATGGAGAGCGATTTGCTTTGCTCGCGCTTGTACAGTACTCACGTGCACTCAGGCGTCCATGCACACTCACGCTCCCGCACACAAATATGCACAAACCAAAACACAACAATTTACACAACCAATCAAATAAACCCGTACTGACACATGAACATGCATAATGTGTGTGTGTCTGACAGCTCCGGGGTGCTCTGAAATCTCAGATTCCAGGCCCTCTAAGTGCACCGGCCTCCCAGCAGAGCCCCACCTCTCCCCACCTCGGCTGCCCTCCTTCTCTTTTTACAGAGACCTGCTCCGATCACTGACCATCACTCTTTCAGAACAGTCTCTTTTTGTTGCCGGTGACCAATCAGCACAGAGGAACTGTCTTTGCCTTCTGCTTTGTCTCTGGATGGGACATACAACCATGGAGCAAACCTAAGTGGCCCAGTTTGGAGAGGTTCGAGGTCACTTTCTGACAGAGGGTGCTGAACCAGCCGGACCCTGTAGCAATGGCTCAATTCCAAGAAAGAAAGGTGGCCACTCTGCCGTCCCGTTCCTGCCCGAGTGTCCCCGGGACTGGCCGACTGCAGAGACGCATGTGTTTGGATGACTTCACCTTTGACAGCTTTGAGCTGCTTTACAGTGGAGCTGTCGAAAAGATCAAAAGCCACAAAAGTAACCTCAACCTCAGTAAGTTCCCCGCTTCCAGCTTCAAAATCAGGAATGTATGATCAGGTTCGACCTAACTACATTTGACTGTAAACATAAATAAGATGGTAAAGCATATTTAGATTAGCCGACCCTGTTTTGCAACCACCTTGCTGTATGCTACAGTGTATACAGAGGCGGTACAGTAGACTTGTTTTTGTTTGATTAACCCAAGGGAAACCAAGGTATTTGATCATCTTCATTGAATAATCATTCAACATAAACGTATGTCAACTCATAAACCTCGGTCACTTTTAGTCTCCATTTTCCAGATAACATCTATCCTACTGGGAATAATATTTGTCAACACAAATATGATCAACCTCAGCCATGGGTTTACCCATCTCTCTCTGTCCAACTCAAAATAGCAACTCGTCGTCAGTGGTGAATCATGACCATAGAAACTGCAGTTCTCTCAGCTCAATGTTATGACCAGTGCAAAGTGCTTTGAGGAATTTAAGGACTTTATTTGAAGATCATTTTTTTTTATAAAAACATGTAATGTTGGTACTTTAATTTGATCCCAATTTACTTCCTTTATTTTGCGTTGATTTTATATTGTCATGCCATGTTATGAAGGAAGTTCCTAATACTGTATGACACTCAGCCATGGCGGTTACTGCATGCTTCTACCACATCAGGCGCACCAAAGCCAATATCTCCTAATCCTTTGATCTGTTTTTTTCAGATTTTAGCAGCAAACATTTAAATAATCTAAGTACCATTTTTGCACAAAAGGTTTACCAGTTGACTGTATCAACTTCTACTTCTAGTACAATTGTCATGTGCAGGCTCAATACGTTTTATTATTCAATTTTGTCTATATTTATTCAGACAAATGTAACTTTAACCCTTTGCAATTTAATATTATATCGAAAACCTCACCTTTCAGAATACAATACCCCGATAATCAGCTCCTGCTTCTGTTGCTTTCTGACCTTTCCTTCCAGATAATAATCTCTCTTATCAAATGTATGTGTTTTATCATTTTCTTCTCAAAGATCACAGTTTGATGGAAAGCCTGCATGATGGAGAAGGTCAGCGCTATTAAAAGCAACCTCTCCTGGCATGGCATTTAGCTAATCCTGTGTCGGTGGTACTGACAAATGGCCTAGTTACTAGCCTTAATAATGGCTAAAGACACCCTATAATATGGTAACCCAGGATAAAGATTTATATATAGATGATGGCAATCCAATTTTAGAAGCAGAACGGTGTTGACAGCATTATTAATACGCTATCTGATGTAGATGGCCTCTGTGGTACAGGAAGGATTGTACTCTATCCGGCTGTGTCTGACACACATAGCATATTGTGTCATGCTGTGCTGGATCACACTTGCGGCCCCACATCTCACACAGTAGAATGGACTCTCGGTATGAGCCATCTCTTTTTCCTGGTGTTGGGAAGGAATCGATCAGTGTGGAAGGAAGGAAACTAGGGAGAGGAAACAGGTGGACAAAGGGTTAAGGAGCTGTAGAGATTTGTATTCATAGAAACAACTGCACAATGTAAAGGGAAGGAGTTACATACAGTATGGGGCAGGAAATGGAGGGGAAGGAAGGGAGTGACAGAGTGTTAAAGTGAAAGAGGGTAAAAGGTGAACAGGATCAGGCGCTTTAAGGTATGGACATATGAGAGAGAAATACTATACATTCTCAAAGTGTTAAGGATATTGTGGTTGTACTTAATTTAACAGATGGTATATCATCTGAACTGACTATTCTACTTTCACCTTTCTGAGAAATCACACACCCTCCATATCAAATCTGGTTTCCTGTAAACCATGTGATTACATTACATATTCATTTCATTCCATTTCCTTTAACTGCGGCTGAACAGCAAGATGCATTCAAGTACATTTGCTTGAAATAATCCAAACTATTGTTAGTGCCGTTGCATTTGTTGTGCTAAAACCATCAAAGTAGTGACATGCTGTGTTCTTATTACTTTTATGCTAAGAGTTTCGTCACAATACTTTGTTTAAGGGAAAGCTCAACATATGAATTCGTTTTAAGTATCTTCGTCTGTTAAGTCATATTGAAAAGTGCCTTTGCTGTTATGATCAGAACAGAGTAAAAACCACCGTTCTAGTTTTGCCTACACTACCCAAGGTGCATTGCTGCTGCTGCTCATTCGTGTAATAGGTTTACAGTTTGCTTTGGCTCAGGGCAGCCTAACCAGCGCTAAGCCTCTTAGCAACCTTTGGCCTACCTCTCGCTAACTCTTACGCTGCACCCACTCTATGCAGTCTTGTTTATATAAATACCATAAACACATTCGTACGTTAGCAGATAGGGAGGCAGACACACCGAGCGGGGTGGGAGAGGGAGAGAAGAATCATATTACATCGATGAAGTAACACAGTCATACTTTATTTTTATGGTTTCCCTCTTCAATGCAGAAAAGTTTCCAAAATGTGCATCACTGCTCTTACCAAAGCACAAATGCATAATCAGATTATACAAGTGGATTACTGTATATTGGAGTCCACTATGTGTTCTCTCATTAAGAGCGCAGCATGTCAGTGCTTTGGCTGCAGGAGGTGCTGGCTATGAATGTTTTATTAGCATTAATGGGAGGAGATAATGAGGAGTGAGATATGAGATTAGGTGATGAGAAACTGGCAACTACGTTCTTGTAATATGAAGCCCCTACTCTCTCTGTCATGAAATGATCCCTTGTTGAAGTAGGGGGGACAAAGTGAAAAACACTTTTGTTTGCTGGTTGTGCAAAACCCTGCTTTTATTATTCCCCCTTCAAAGTATGGTTGTTATGTTTAAGGTAGGAGGGATATTGATCTGTTTAGTGGTACTGCTCTGTTTTCATGGGGCAAAATGTACCATAAATCAGCAAGTGGTGCCTCAGCAGATGGATGCTGGCAATCAAAATGCTTTTTTATACACATGTCATTCTGTTGTGTTTTGACAAGGGTTTCATCTTTGCCTTCACTTTTTCTGCGCCTCACTCTGTGGCTACACAAATGTATGCGGGTATTCATTCATTTGTGCCTCTGCACGTCGTGTACACACTTTTATGGCATCGTCTCCTCCAATATTCATGTGTCCCTTTAGTCGAGGACAATACACTGAGAGGAGACACCGCTGATGTTGCACCCCCGGCTTAGAGAGCCCTGAAACCTGAAACCACTTAACGCTCGGAGCTGACAGACACGGAGGAAGAGTGGGGTGGACATGAAGGTGAAGGAGATCAATTAAGGGAGAGATGAAAACACAAGTAGATTCATTCATTAATGCCACTTTAAAACAGCAGTTTTTTCCCATATTTGTATTATATCTTATAATAAATTAGATTGTTGGTAGTTTATCAGAACTGCTCTAGATAAAGTTTGAATGACCACCTTTCATGACCCTGAATGTATGTATGGAGTTTTCGCGGTTGCACGGTTTTCATCTAAGAAACAAAGTGTCATGCTGATCTCCAGTGGTTTGTGTTTTCCAGAGGAGGAGCTGAGGAAGCTGCGGGAAGAGACCAATGTGGACTCTCTGCGGCAGGAGCTGGACAGAGAGCGGAGCAAGAGGATAGACCTGGAGCAGAAGATGAACGAGGTGCTGAAGACCAGGTGAGACAAACCCAGACAGTCACATGGGCGACAGAAGCTGAGCACAGAGAAGTAACGGCAGCGTCGCGTGCTTCAACGGAGACGCTTCCCATTTGCTTTGAATGGGGTGACGTCACGCTTTGCCGAACTGCATTGTGGTTCCGTCGCGCTGTACCTCCGCTACTTGCTTCGAAAGTTGAGAAAAGTTCAACTTTTTAAGCGTCGACGGAAGCTCCAGCCAATCAAATCATACGCCAGTACAAGCTCTAGCCAATCAAACCGCGTGCCTGTGTGTCCGGGGGCGGGAGATTAATGTGATTGGTTTTGGTCGCACGCCAGACACGCCCACCGACGAGCTTCAACGCGACGCTGCCGTGTGGACGTACAGTAATCGTGAGGAAGTCATGAGAAATGTTGACACAGCACTTTGCCATACTTTCGACACAGTTTACCACAGGTCAAGTGGGATGGCACGTGTGTGTCAGTCCCATCAGCTCGGTCTGTGGGGAATTCCTGTGTGTCTCAATGTTCACACTGTGACGCTGTTGCTATGCCTGTGTCAGGAAAAGCCTGAGCTTCTTGGCACCCAGCGAGCCAACCTTAAACACAGAGTGAGTGTGTGTGTCCGGCTCTGCGTGTGGGATCAGATGATGCTTCTGTGCCTGCCAATGGAACATTCCACTGGTGCTCTCCAAGTGATTATCAGCACAGAAACATCATGAGTGCCTGAGTGTTAAGAATCCTGTTAGAGGTAAACTAACGCACCATGACATGGGAGTTTCTCCAGTTAACTCTTTGTCAGCAGGATCCAGTTTCTCTGGCTCCTATCCATGTGTTATTGAGCAAGGCACCTGAGATTAATGACCAACATAACAAACACTAGACTACAGGGATATCCTGCCTATGGTGTTGTCTGTAAACAATCTTCTCAGGCACACATATGGGAAGCAACTTTCTCTGATATTTCTTTTAATCCAAATGAGGAAAAAATGGATATAGAAGTCATTTAGTTTTCTATTTTTTTGTTGAAAACAGTGGTCAGTTGTACACTCTCTGCATTTATGTATAGTTTATTTCAGAATTTATTTCGGTCATTGTGAAAGTACTATTCAATATATGAAGATAATCTAAAAATATATATTTTTCTTGGAATAAATTCCCTTGTTAATAATTTTCACAGAGTGATGTTGTATTTACCGTATAAAGAAACTCCATAGGAAATGTAAAGCATTTTAAAAATAATAGTAATATTATAATAATAGTAATATTTTAATCAATATTTCTCAAAAAATGCCTTATCTTATTAGAGAGAAGAACAACGTTTTTATTTTTTTTCGAGCGAGCATTTATTGCCCATTAGCATGACATATCACTACCATTAAACCGTTAAAAGATAAAACATCAACAAGCTTGCTAAAGTCAATAAGCTCTTGGAATGTTTTTAATCTTTTGATTGACTTTTAATTTCTTCTGCAACAACAATATATCAGTAGCAGTAAAACTGAAAGAGACACTCTTTAAAATGTTAATGCTTTCTTACTCTCAGTTAGGTTGCTTTTTTCACTTTTAGCCCAAAAGAGAGACTGGAAATGTTTCTCCTCATTCTGCCTCTATCCCCCCTATGTGTCAATCTCTACCAGAGTCGTTGATTTATCCGATGCAGCAACTCCCCACTCAAACTGCTTGAGACATCCTCCAGTGGGACTGCCGCTCTGGCAATAGAGAAGTGAAACTAACACTCGACTAATCTTTCTTCCTCTCTTCCTCTCTCAGGCTGGAAGACTCTCCACCACAGCCTCCCCGGAAACAGCAGTCGCCCTCCAACAATGGAACAGGTACGACCCTGGGGGAGGTGGAGAGGGAGTGTGTGTGACAGAGAGAGAGTGGGAGTCCAGGGGGACTGACGGGAAATGAGTTAGGAAGGAAGACTTTGACGTCTTAAAAGTGTGTGTGTGTGGTGTGTGTGTGTGTGTGTGTGTGTGTGTGTGTGTTGTGATGTGTGTTGTGTGTGTGTGTGGTGTGTGTGTGTGGTGTGTGTTGTGTGTGTGTGTGTGTGTGTGTGTGTGTGTGTGTGTGTGTGTGTGTGTGTGTGTGTGTGTGTGTGTGTGTGTGTGTGTGTGTGTGTGTGTGTGTGTGTGTGTTTGTGTGTGTGTGTGTGTGTGTGTGTGTGTGTGTGTGTGTGTGTGTGTGTGTGTGTGTGTGTGTGTGTGTGTGTGTGTGTGTCAGAGCTGTTCACAAGTCCAAGTCTTTGGTCACGAGTCCAAGTCAAGTCTCAAGTCTTTGTGGGGTGAGACTTGATCAAGTCTTTGGTCACGAGTCCAAGTCAAGTCTCAAGTCTCTAAAAAATAAAAGTATCATGTCTCTTCTGGTTGTAATAAGCCTTCTATTGTCTGCTGCTATCCAGTCTGTTAAGAATACTGCACAGCTATATCTAAGACATTCAAAGAATTTACTGTATTATTATCACTCCTATATCTATTAGCATACAGTATCAGTACTGATTAGTTGTTTGTTATATGATCACTTTAAACAGGCTATTGCAATGCAATATGAGGAAAAACATCACACTTTAGCTAAATGCAAACAACTTATAAGCAAAACACTTCAGAATCAGAAATCAGTATCACAAATACTTTATTAATCCCCCGCAGGGAAACTGTGTTAAAAGTACTTAAAAGTAAACATTTGTTCTGTGCCATTTGCAACTAAAAAACTATTGCTGCAATATTATCTGAAATATACTGAACTGGTGATATTAAAACATGACCAGTTCCAAAAGAGATATCTACCATTAACACCATTTACCAGCCAGATGCTGGTAAATCATGCAAGTGGCTGGTACTGTATGTTGCACGCACCAGCCACAAATAACAATGGCAATCTATTGAGTGGCTGGTAACATTTCAACATTCACTAGGCTAGCCATTTGGCCAGTGGACAAAAATGTAAAAATGTGACCTCTGCAACCGTATTGTTTAATTACACTGGGTCTCTAATGACATCTTTAAGTCTACTATAAATAAACATATTCCTCTATCCTCTCACTCAAACCCAGTGTAATGGTAACCTGATAAACCTGTAACATTAACGTTACGTGGTCAACAATAAACCTATAACCTGCCTATAAACCGACAGATGTATGTATGTATGTAACTATGTATTTTTCTACGTTTAACGTTAGCCAGTAGATGGTGGCAGCGGAACGTAATGATTAACGTTACCGACCTTTTTTATGTCATGTCAAGAGTTGGATGTCAACGCCACTCAACGCAAACAAGTGTGACAAGCAAACATTCACTCATCTTTTCAAATATTCAATTACAAAGCTAGTAGCAAGCTAAGTTAACATTACATAGCTGATGCTGAGCTAAACATGTTTGCTAACCATCCATATGCGTTAATGTGACTGACCTCTCCGGGTGAGTTTTCAAGTGCCTGATTAAATGTGACGTTGTTGCACCAGCATCCTTGATTTTAATATTGCAGACTTTGCAGTGTGCGCTCCTTTTGTTGGTGCCGCCGGCATTTTTTGTTCGAAGTTTTTATAGTTGAACCTAATTACAAGCGGTACAGCTGCAGGTGTGCCGCCGGTCGCCATGGTGTTACCATGATGTTAATGTTAATGTTAAAGGTGGGGTAGGTAAGTTTAAGAAACCGGCTCGAGATACACTTGTTGTTATATTCCATGGAATGCTCTTAACATCCCGATAGCCGGCCCGGCTAAAGTAACTGGATGGCCTACCTGCCTGTCAGCCTCCATCGGGGCACAAACTTATCTCGTGCCCTCATTGGTCATGTGCGCGTTCGTGTGTGTTGGAGGAGGGGCTCTGTGAGGAAGTGGCAGATTTTCTCCGGTTGTGTATTTTCAAATTCTAGCGATCTCGAGCCGGTTTCTCAAACTTACCTACCCCACCTTTAATACGCCAAAAATAGGAAAACACAATGATTGTTCACGAGTCCCAACACACGAGTCCAAGTCGAGTCCGAAGTCTTTTGAGCAGGAGTCCAAGTCAAGTCTGAAGTCTCTGTGTGTGCGACTTAAGTGCGACTCGAGTCCGAGTCACAGACTCGAGTGTGTGTGTGTGTGTGTGTGTGTGTGTGTGTGTGTGTGTGTGTGTGTGTGTGTGTGTGTGTGGTGTGTGTGTGTGTGTGTGTGTGTGTGTGTGTGTGTGTGTGTGTGTGTGTGTGTGTGTGTGTGTGTGTGTGTGTGTGTGTGTGTGTGTGTGTGTGTGTGTGTGTGTGTGTTGTGTGTGTGTGTGTGTGTGTGTGTGTGTGTGTGTGTGTGTGTGTGTGTGTGTGTGTGTGTGTGTGTGTGTGTGTGTGTGTGTGTGTGTGTGTCAGAGATGTTCACAAGTCCAAGTCTTTGGTCACGAGTCCAAGTCAAGTCTCAAGTCTTTGTGGGGTGAGACTTGATCAAGTCTTTGGTCACGAGTCCAAGTCAAGTCTCAAGTCTCTAAAAAATAAAAGTATCATGTCTCTTCTGGTTGTAATAAGCCTTCTATTGTCTGCTGCTATCCAGTCTGTTAAGAATACTGCACAGCTATATCTAAGACATTCAAAGAATTTACTGTATTATTATCACTCCTATATCTATTAGCATACAGTATCAGTACTGATTAGTTGTTTGTTATATGATCACTTTAAACAGGCTATTGCAATGCAATATGAGGAAAAACATCACACTTTAGCTAAATGCAAACAACTTATAAGCAAAACACTTCAGAATCAGAAATCAGTATCACAAATACTTTATTAATCCCCCGCAGGGAAACTGTGTTAAAAGTACTTAAAAGTAAACATTTGTTCTGTGCCATTTGCAACTAAAAAACTATTGCTGCAATATTATCTGAAATATACTGAACTGGTGATATTAAAACATGACCAGTTCCAAAAGAGATATCTACCATTAACACCATTTACCAGCCAGATGCTGGTAAATCATGCAAGTGGCTGGTACTGTATGTTGCACGCACCAGCCACAAATAACAATGGCAATCTATTGAGTGGCTGGTAACATTTCAACATTCACTAGGCTAGCCATTTGGCCAGTGGACAAAAATGTAAAAATGTGACCTCTGCAACCGTATTGTTTAATTACACTGGGTCTCTAATGACATCTTTTAAGTCTACTATAAATAAACATATTCCTCTATCCTCTCACTCAAACCCAGTGTAATGGTAACCTGATAAACCTGTAACATTAACGTTACGTGGTCAACAATAAACCTATAACCTGCCTATAAACCGACAGATGTATGTATGTATGTAACTATGTATTTTTCTACGTTTAACGTTAGCCAGTAGATGGTGGCAGCGGAACGTAATGATTAACGTTACCGACCTTTTTTATGTCATGTCAAGAGTTGGATGTCAACGCCACTCAACGCAAACAAGTGTGACAAGCAAACATTCACTCATCTTTTCAAATATTCAATTACAAAGCTAGTAGCAAGCTAAGTTAACATTACATAGCTGATGCTGAGCTAAACATGTTTGCTAACCGTCCATATGCGTTAATGTGACTGACCTCTCCGGGTGAGTTTTCAAGTGCCTGATTAAATGTGACGTTGTTGCACCAGCATCCTTGATTTTAATATTGCAGACTTTGCAGTGTGCGCTCCTTTTGTTGGTGCCGCCGGCATTTTTGTTCGAAGTTTTTATAGTTGAACCTAATTACAAGCGGTACAGCTGCAGGTGTGCCGCCGGTCGCCATGGTGTTACCATGATGTTAATGTTAATGTTAAAGGTGGGGTAGGTAAGTTTGAGAAACCGGCTCGAGATACACTTGTTGTTATATTCCATGGAATGCTCTTAACATCCCGATAGCCGGCCCGGCTAAAGTAACTGGATGGCCTACCTGCCTGTCAGCCTCCATCGGGGCACAAACTTATCTCGTGCCCTCATTGGTCATGTGCGCGTTCGTGTGTGTTGGAGGAGGGGCTCTGTGAGGAAGTGGCAGATTTTCTCCGGTTGTGTATTTTCAAATTCTAGCGATCTCGAGCCGGTTTCTCAAACTTACCTACCCCACCTTTAATACGCCAAAAATAGAAAACACAATGATTGTTCACGAGTCCCAACACACGAGTCCAAGTCGAGTCCGAAGTCTTTTGAGCAGGAGTCCAAGTCAAGTCTGAAGTCTCTGTGTGTGCGACTTAAGTGCGACTCGAGTCCGAGTCACAGACTCGAGTCCCCATCTCGTGTGTGTGTGTGTGTGTGTGTGTGTGTGTGTGTGTGTGTGTGTGTGTGTGTGTGTGTGTGTGTGTGTGTGTGTGTGTGGTGTGTGTGTGTGTGTGTGTGTGTGTGTGTGTGTGTGTGTGTGTGTGTGTGTGTGTGTGTGTGTGTGTGTGTGTGTGTGTGTGTGTGTGTGTGTGTGTGTGTGTGTGCGCGAGAGAGACAGGAAGTGAGTGGTGTCGGAAGTTTCTGCAGGTTATTGTATGACATATTGTAGTGTGGGTGCAGGAACAGAAATACACACTAACATGTTGATTTATGTTGTGCACTTAGTTGTATTTAGAACAATAAGCCCTATTATGCATCTACTGTGACAGGTTTATAGGCTTTAATGTTCCAAAAGGTCTTTATTTTTCTCATACTGCCTGAGATGCAGCACCTCTTTTCACCCTCTGTCTGAAACCACAGCCCAGTCTTATCTGATTGTTCAGCTGGCTGGCTTTGTTGTGATTGGTCAACCGCTTAGAGATGTCCCGCCTCTCAGTCTTTCACGTATTGTTGGAGCGCTATCCAACAGAAGCTTGAGTGTTACAGAGTGATGTCAATATGTTATGGAAGAAAGCAAAGCACTCCAATTGAGGCGTTTCAGGCAGTGTGCGGGAGAGAAACTCCCTCTGGAGAGAACGCTGGGATTTTAGCCTTTGCAGACCATTTACATGCACTCAAATCTATACTATAACGCACTACAGGAAAGGGGAAACCCCCAAAAGCATAATAGGGCCCCTTTTTAACCAACTGCATTTATCAAAAACGATTCTACTAACTAGTAACTGATGTCATCCATACAGATATGCACGGCATGTGTCAGTGCCATAGGGATATTTGTGTGTGTGTGTTTTAAAACACGTCAGTGAGGGAAGACGGAGCTCATTAATGCAGTATGAGTCAGATGGTATTTATGAAGAGTGTGTGTCTGTGCGGCTAATTTGGGAAATTGGGTTATGATTTTAGAACGCTTCATCTAGGGCGGGCAGGCCTGTGCTCCAATGAATGTCAGGTGTGTTTGGACGTCAGTGTTTTTTTTAGGATGGATAAAGAGTGTGTCTGTGTCCTCCTTGGCATAACATTGTTTCTAATGAAACCACAGCAGGAAAAACCCTTGCTATAGCTTTCATTTTGCCATAATGACAAGATATTTTTTTGCACAGTGTGTGTCTATGCTCCCAGTGACACAGAGTACACAGCTTCCATTCCCACAGTTAATCACAGTCGCCTGGAGTAGCGGCACAGTACAATCACAGTCAATAAATGTATACTTAGCAGTTCCCCCGGAGCAGCTGTGGGTAGTGTGCACTGCTCAGGGCAAAGCACACTTATTGTTGTAGAAAATAATATTAGAAAAAGTGTGCTCAAGGCAAAACAACACAGAGTTTAGAAAAATGAATACACTTCTGTTCTCTCCACCAGACAAACAGCAGAAAGAGGTGTGGAGTTCGCGGCTGCAGAAGTGGGTGTACGAGCGCTTCGGGGTCTACATCGAGGACTTCCGCTTCCAGCCGGAGGAGAGCACGGTGGAGGCTGAGGAACCACTAAGTGCTAAAAGGTGGGTGAGAGCTGCAAGAGATCAGGAAGTGTCTGTCCTCAGGTTTGAATCTGCGTAAATGGGTTTGTCAGTTAGTTAGTTTACAGGAGCTGTCAACACTTTATTGTTTGCGATTAATAACACAAATTGATCACGTTACAAAGTTGGACCCTAACACCCCAACCTCCCAACCTCCCAACCTATCTCCAGCGTTGATGTTTACCATGGATTGCCTTGCAGAGTAGAGGCAAAGAAAGCAGAGGAATTGGCACAAGCTACATGTATTGCATTGAGTGAAGACCACTGGACATCGCAGAGTCAACTACCTCGGTGTAACAGCACTCCTGCACTTGTTAGCTTTAGGTGTGGTGAAAACGGAGGAAAGGCATTTAGCCGAATCGCGCGCCAGTTTCATAAAGTTGCACAGAAGTGGGAGATGGCAGAAAGGATCACTACCGTAGGAACAGAGTGCTCGAAGTATGATACTGGCAGAGATGCCCTGAATTTTCCCTTGGGCATTAATACACGTATGTCTTGAGTTAGAGCTTGAACGTGTCCTTAATGTTACCTAACTATCTTTGACTTATCCTACCGATGCACTGCAGCAGACTCCACTTCTTCAAACTGTTCACTTGTTGCCAGATGAGATGTTCTCCCATCACTTTGCGGGGAGGGAACACAGAGGACTTTTTCTGAATTCATTTCTCTCCGTTCCATTCTTTCTCTCCTGATTTCTAAAGGCAAGTGAGTCATGCCAGGCTGATGAAGGCCAAAGTGTTACCACGCACTCGGGAACATAATGATCCTTTTTTTGTTTAGTGTTTAGAGCTTCGCGTTCTGACCTTCACTCTTTGTGTTTTTCCATCCAGGTTAACAGAAAATATGAGGCGACTCAGTGAGTACCCAAAGCACACACAAACACACACTACAAAAGGAGTACAGTTTAAACACTTAATCTGCTGTGAGTACAACATTCATCTTTGAGTATGGATATTGTACCCTGCTTCTGTACATGATTTTCCAATACACACTTTGACTTTGCATTGACTTTGCACACTTAAAGTACAATTTGTCCACCCATGACAATTTCTTTTTCAAGGACAGTAACATATATTCATGTAGAAAATACAAAAGGTACTGATTGTACAATTTCCCAGAAAGATCACACCTTGAAAGCAGTCTTTAAAGGCAGGAAAAAGACAAAAACAGGCCCAGTGCCACTTTGAATTTGTCCTAAAGCACTACCCCTCTACTCTTCTTTTTCAGAGCGAGGAGCCAGACCTGTCACCAACTTCTTGAGGAACCTCTCCGCCTTATCCAATTGGCACTCCGTCTACACCTCAGCTATTGCCTTCATAGTAAGTGTGCTCCATCACACGACTGTACTCTGTTCAACTCTGTGCTACATTGATCAGCGTTCCACTCTCTATGTCTATAAATTGACCGATGACCATATTTGGTAGTACAGTCCATGACAGTGAAATAAAAAGCGTGTCTTTATGCTCCCAGCTGATGTATTACAGTGGATGTGCCCCGGACCGCAGAGAGGTCTAATCAGATCTCTATTAATGTCAGTGAATACGCTAAATAATCTTTAGCACATTTTATTAGGGCCATACATGCAATGAGGACAGAGGGCATCTTGGTATTTAGAGATGATCTCACTTTAGTGTTAACAGATGGCTCTAATAGGGTTCTCCAACAGCATGAGATAAAGTCGATGTCTTAAATAAGACGAGATAAAGCTTTATTGATCCCCGTAGGGAGATTCAAGTCTCAGTGCAGCCACAGAAGTAGGAGTGAAACACCGGATAAGACTACTGTACACACAAGGATAATAATAATAATACATAAATACAAATATATGTTAAAAGTATCTATTAAAATAAGGTAAAACTGTTACATATGTAAACTGTTTTCCCTTTTGCCTGCAGATCTACATGAATGCTGCTTGGCATGGCTGGGCCATTCCCATGTTACTCTTCCTGGCTATCCTGCGCTTGTCCTTAAATTACCTCATTGCCAGGTAAAAACTTTTCTCATCTCTGGATATGCAAATATTATAATATGTTTGAATAGATGGCCATGGCTGGTTGGACAATGGTTCAGCTGTGAGAAGGAGTTATGTAATAAAAGCAGACCTCTTTTAAATGTGTGAGCTATGTACAAACTTAAGTCTAATACAGAAAATGTGTTCTGAGCAGATTTTAAAAACATGCACACATGCCACACGTGCATTACTATTGTAGCTACAGCAAAAAAGGTCAACTCTTGTATGTGCCCACAGCCAAATATAGATATTATTAACCAATAAAAACGTCAAAGAAATAGTTTGAAATGGGGAATTTAGGTGATCACTACGAAATGAGGGCAGATCAGTAAACTGGGACGCCTTAAAGAGATGATGGCTGAACGGATGTTGGCACTGTAGAGACTGAAAAGTAGTGTTTGGCCTATTTTAATCCAAACTAAACCTCTTACACTTCTTCTTATTTCCAGAGGTTGGAGGATCCAGTGGAGCATTGTGCCTGAGGTCTCTGAACCCACGGTAAGACCACTTCCTGTTTCTGTGTGTCAGGAGATAAACATATGCATTAGTGGAGGTTAATATGTAATGGTACGAACCGTTCTCTTGCAGGAGCCTCCGAAGGAAGACTTGACTGTATCGGAGAAGTTCCAGCTAGTACTTGATGTCGCACAAAAAGCACAGGTAGAACACGGCCTTATAATACTTCCCAAATCACAAATGGTTAAATGGCACCAGTTCATGCAGTGTTGAACTCTCCTTACAGAACCTGTTTGGGAAAATGTCAGATGTTTTGGAGAAGATAAAAAAGTAAGTCCCATAAAATCAAATGGTGTATGATTATACTTAAAGGTAGATCCATTGACTTATTTCTCTTCTTGCTTTGTCTGTGTGCTTTTATCTGCAGCCTGTTCATGTGGGTGCAGCCGGAGAGCACCCGGAAACTTTACATCTGCCTGTGGGTGGCTTTCATCACCTCCTGCGTCCTTCCATACAAACTAATGGGCTTCATGATGGGTGAGACACACACACACACACCGAGCTTCACTTCTGGCATACTGTACTGTACACACTGCTTTGGCCTTTAACATAATGCAAGTTGTTCCACTCAATCCAGTGCACACAAACAAATGCATTCATGCAACCCTTGTGTACCCTTCCTGTGAGGGGCAGCTGCAGGCTAATGGCATGCCTATGTGACAATATAAGTTACAGCTTCTGCTTGTAAACAAAGCCTTCCTCAAGCACCACCAGGGGGTTGTAGCTCGTTGGAACATGCTTAAAGCTAAAATAACTGTTGTCGATTTATTCAGCCAGCTCATTATCACTTATTATTAGGCCTCTTAATAACACTCTCTGTTTTGTAAATGATGCAAATTTGTAACTCAATTTGGTGGTTTGTCACCATCACATTTGAGAGGTATCTTTTAGGCCGATGGGTCCATTTTGGATTGATTAACCTGAAATGTGTTACAAACATTTTCCAGAATCCTACAGGCTTCAATGATTTTATAACTTCTCCTCTAGCACCACCTTGAGGTATAAAAGCGTATGTCTACTAAACATGGCGTTGATGATCCAATCCCTTAAACACTAGATTACATCACAAATAGAAGCTTTTTCCCCTCAGTTACCTGGTTGAGCCATTCATCATGATGACAGCCGCCTGCCCCCCCACCATACACAACCTCTTACCCCTGGATACCCAGTGACTGACATTTGAATTACACATATTCAGTTTACCGACTGTAAATACATTGAATATTATTTACCTAAGACCATTGTTTTAGGGAGTGTTTTTACACTGTTAGGACACCATTTAAGACGTCTGCCCTTTGTAAAAATGTTTGAATGTTCTCTCTTCAATGCTCTCTCTCCTCTCCAGGCCTGTATGCCGGCATCAAGTTCTTCATCATAGACTTCCTGTTTAAGAGCTGTCCGAAGCTACGGGACAAGTACGACACGCCGTTCATCGTGTGGAACAGCCTTCCCACAGACCCTCAGCTCAAAGAGAGGACCAACGCCACTGTGTCCCGGCGGGTAAGGGCACTGACACACACGCGCACACACACACACACACACACACACACACACACATCTGTATCTTTGCCGTCCCTTCTTCTACATTGTATCCTTTTTGTTTTCTGATACTAACTCTGAAGTGACTTGTACAACACAGCTTAGTCTGGATCCTGTCTGAGAGAAAGTATGTTGAAAATACATGAGGATTATTATGGCTACGTTACAAAAAAACATCACCCTTGTAATTTGTGTATCTGTTTTAAAAGGGCAACAAGGATATTTTTTTTGAAATTGTTCAGATAGGGGAACCAACAACAATCCGATCAGTTCTGGGTTATAAGATCCACCGAATTCTGGCTAGCAACAACGTAGGAAAATGTTATATGTCAAAATAAGCATTTGAGCAAAAATGTTCCTTTACTGCAAATTGTTTATATCATTTTTATCTTCAATGTTGGTAATTGATAAGCTATTGGAAAAGTAAAGTAAGACGTAAACAGCTGTAGGTCAGGTTACATTATTTATGTCGGCAAGATTCCACCTACTGAAGTACAAATCTGCCCCCCACCCTCACCCCCCTTAGAGCCGGGGCAAGGACATCAATAAAGTATCAAAATACCCTCACTCCAATCGTTAATAATACATTACAGCCGAGCCACTGACGTGTGTGTGTGTGTCATGTGTAGGATAGAGTGTTTGAGCCTCTGTCACAGGTGTGCTCTGTCCTTTCTCTCTCTCAGCTCTCTGGCATTGAGAAGGTAGGGACTCTGGTGTGTCTCCCTTTGGTTCCTCTGCTGCGCCCGGGGGTGCTGCAAGCTCACCTCAAAGCGCGCCTGTGTGTGTGTGTGTGTGTGTGTGTGTGTGTGTATGTGCGAGTTGTGTGACACTCCTCGGGACTGGCCGTCAGTGTTTGTGGATAGAATGGATCAAAATGTCACAATAACTTACATTTTTATTTGATTTTTTGACATTACATTTAATTACTCATCCATTTGCAAAGTTATTAAAAAACAATTTTCAGATTGTTGACATGTTTTGATCCATTGACATAGATGCTCTGTGAGAATTAGCAGTGTGTCTCCTGATTAGCTCAAATGCACATAGCGTAGCCTCTTTTCCAACGTAATTCCCTATTAGCTCATTCAATCCCTCCCTTTCCATTACACATAGTGACAAACCCTATGACCTCATTTTTTGAAGTCTCTTTTTTTTTTTAAATGTCTATTTTCACTGAAACACTTACTCTAGAAAAGGACTGGATAAAAAAGGATTTCTCTGACATTGTAAGGGGTACATCTCTTGAGTTTATTTATGTTTCTTCCACATACTAACACATATGTTTTGCCTATAAACTGTTGCTGTGTATGCTGAGTGAATGATGGCCCACTCTCTGCTTTGCACGTCACACCTGAGCCTGCTGCAAAGAAGTGCACATGCAGAGCAGCACATAATGCAAATACTGAAAGTAGAGCTGTCTTCATTTTGGCAACATTTGTCAATAGATCTGGGAACATGTAGAGTAATGTGTGGAGAGTTTAATATCCCTGTCCTTCCTCTTTCCCTTCATCATTCTTCATCCTCTCCCACGTGCCCTTCGTCTCCCCTTCATGGTGTTTTTATTTTTCATCTTGTCTGTTATTTTATGTTTGTTTTTCTCCTCTCCTTTCCCGCCTCTTCCTCCTCTTCCTCCTCTTCCTCCCACTCTCCTCAGATTCAGCCGGTGGTTTCTCGCAGCAGCCTCGCCACGGTCCCGTGCGGGCTGAGCAGGGAGGAGGACACGGGGAGCGCCCGCAGCACCAAGAAGGGAGCCTTCCACGAGATCTTCAGCCTGCTGGAGTCAGAGCGCCCTCTGGCGGGTGAGGGCTCTCGCTGCAGAACCAAATAAACATGTGCCTGTTTTTCATTTGAGTGTTCCATTTATTCACAGCTCTGCATTTCATTTTGCTCAACACAGGTTTTATTAAAAAAAAAAAAAACATTACATTTTTTCCATCAGTAGAATACTTTATTTATTCTAGGATAAATCCAGGAAATGTGGGTTTTGTGACTGTTATAAATAAATACAAGGGTTTGCAATAAAAAGATAACAAAATATAGAATAAAAATACTTATGAACCTGAGAAGCTAAAGTGAAATGTCCAATACTAGATCAAATGGAATAGAATAAAAATATTTATATAAACATTAGAAGTTAAAGTAAAATCAGCAATCTTCCAGATCATCCGGCAGGGCATGTGATGACCTCTGACCCCGAGGAGCATGACCTCCTACACACACACACACACACACACAGACAGACACACACACACTCACTGTTCCTGTGGAGCTAGTTTACAATATATACAGTGTGGTATTAGTATTAACAAGATATTAATGCTGTTATTGTACAGTTTAAAAAGATTAGGCTGCTGATGGGACCACTAGGTCCTACTACTTTACTTAGAATAAGTAAATAACAAAAATATATAACGGCTTTTGTTTGTCAATTTAAGTTGAGAAAGTGGGATAAAAGGGAAGGAAAAGTAACTTTTACAAAAACTGACTATGAGATAAAAGACAGACATATCTGACTTACGTGAAATTAGTTTACAATCCAAACTTGAATATAAAAGTATCTCCAGATATCTTAGAGAACCACGGCAGATCTTTTGAATCCCTCCAGGTTTCTCCTTCAGGTTATACACTATCTTTTCATTAGGTGCACACAATGCTAATTCACCTTCAAGTCCTTCTAGCAAATGTAGGTGGAGGTTCATCTTTCCATTGCACTGCTACGCATTTGTTGGCTGTGATAAGGGCTAAAGACATGGAGACGCACAGAACATATGAACATATTTCTTAATCATGATTTAAAAAATCACGTGTCATAAATATCTGTGTTTACAGTGTGTGAGAACGGCTGGAGGTGCTGCCTGATAAACAGAGACAGGAAGATGCCCACAGACTACATCAGGAATGGAGTGCTCTACGTCACCGAGAAGTAAGTAGGGGACTTACAGTATATCAGGGAAGCATCCTTTTCATTTAGTCAATGACTGCATGGTAAAATAATAAGATACTCATGAAGGTGTAGCTTCAACAAATCCCCGTCTCTGTGAGTCAGCAGTGGATCCCGTAGGACAGCCCTCCTCCTGAGAATATCTCTGATCTTTAAATCTCCTCTCCTCCTCCTCCTCTCATGTGTTACTGACAGGAAGGCCATGTTTGTCTTCCTCTTTTCCACTCACAGCTAGCTACTGTTTCTCTCTTTCTCTCCCTCAGTTACCTGTGCTTTGAGAGCTCCAGCTCCAGATCCAGCTCCTCTAAGAAGAATAAGGTTATCAAGCTGGTGGACATCACTGACATACAAAAGGTACACCCTAAAACACATTGTGTAACATGAAATAGGAATTATTATTTTCATCGTACAATATAAGGAGGTACATATGATAATAACCCTCTTTTCTTTGTGAACTCCCCCAGTACAAAGTGCTGTCCGTCCTACCAGGAAGTGGGATGGGCATCTCCATAGCTACTCCTTCCACTCAGAAGGTACAGTATGCAATGACTACTGCTTTATGTGCCCTAGCTCATATTAGAAGCATTTCTACTTTTAAAACATCGTCCTCTTTGAATAACAATAAGGGTATTCCAAAATGTCATTCATTTATGATGGGAAGTTAAGCTAATCTTTTTGATGTAGCTTCAAGATATTGGCAATTTTTCCAACACAATTGTAGTACAAAATGCACTATAATCATAATAGACCAAAAGTTGAATGGAGTGGACACTTCCCACACTCAGTGGTCTCCACCTTAGCTTCGTAACGGGATGTATTGCCGTTGTTGCGGTGAACCCAGCATTATACAAATTAAAGTTATACATGTGTTTTTTTGTTTTTTTACTATTCAAGTAACAAAACACTATACTGGTGTCGAAAACTCTGCTGAATGAGCAGAGTGTAGGAACAATTGTTTTACTAGCTCGCTAACAGCGGCAATCACCACTTCCTGTGAGGGCAAAGCTGCCGTGTGTGATTTACAGAGGTGGGAGTAAGTCATACATGTGCAAGTCATGAGCAAGTCTCAAGTCTTAACCTACAAGTCTCAAGTCACTGTGGTGAGAGTCAAGTCATTGCTCAGGTCAAGCAAGTCACAAGTCAAGTCCAACGAAATTCTGATGAATAACCCCAGTTTCCACATTTAAATCAGATAAAATAATGTGGTTATGAAAAGTTTAGTTTTATTTTCAACATAAACAGCAATGGAGAGTGGGGCGCTGAAATGATAACGCTATAAGTTCTAAAAGGGCTCTAAAGTGAAAACAGGAGTACAACACAAATATTTGACATCAACATGTTGAGCCTCCTGCCCTGACTCCCCTTCAGCAGGGTCACAGCATTCCTCCATGGTCTGTCTAAGGTGCTCCCACGTGACACTGTCTCATTGCTTTCCTAACTGTGTCTGTGCACAAAGAAATATTGCATCAAAGCCAATACAACGGAATAGTGTATTCATAATAGTGTATAATAATAATAATGTACCAGAGCGCAGATATGTGTTTGTGTGCAGACAGTGCGACGACATTAAGATTAAACACATTTCTTTCATTTGGGAACACCCACATATACATATGGAGTTGGACAGATGTGTGTAAATGACTGTTTATGGTCATTTGAAAACAAATGACGTTGTCGGACACACACACATCATGCGCCTGTGACCAGACATCTCCTTCATAAAACGAGTAATGGGGGATTAATCGGGCAGTTCGATGTGTGTGTGGTTGAAACGTAGCAGCCTGCGGTCGCTCTTTAGCTGTTCTAATGAAAGTAAACACAGTGAAGGCGTTGCGTAAAAGGCACAGCTCAGGCACAAACCAAAACAGCACATGAGATGAAGCGTACATTTTGTATATCATTAGCTTTGAGCTGGACTAGACAGAGATGTGGTTAATAATGATCCCTGTGCTTTTCTCTTCCCTTCAGCCATTGGTGTTTGGTGCTATGATCCACAGAGACGAGGCTTTCGAGGCCATCTTCACCCAGTACATGAAGATCATGACCACCACCAAACCTCCGGCCACCGCCGAGCTCTAGACAGCCCGTATCCCAGCAACAGACCTCCATACTGGGGCTAAAGTGGAGCGGAGAGCCTCCTGAGATTCAACTGGACTGGAACACACTTCTTGAAAAACAAACCCACCACACTCCTCCTCCCTTGGTGGATTTCCTGCTTGGAGGGGACATGCGAGTGTGTGTGTAGCTGGGATTAAGTTACATCACACACTTTGTTGATTGTGTTGGATTAAAAAATCCAAGTTCTGAAGAGGAGCGAGGATCGGTGTGGCTTGTGGGGGGGGGAGCTGGTTCTCCTCTCCCACCTCACTGACTGGCTGACTGGATTCCTGACGTACTTGTTTCCGTGCTTGCATGTGTGAGTGTGTGCGGGCAGAAATGATGGTCTTAAATAGCGTCAAGTGGCTCTGTTTTTTCTCCTAAGTCAAGGAGTGACTTCTACTGTGGTAGGAAGATTTCTAGTAGTGCTCAACTTGGCCGTCAAACGAACATCCTAAAGCAAATAGAAGACAAACAAGAGGTTCTTTTAACTGCCAGACATCTGTAGGAACAAATGTTAGCTTTATAATTCAGCGCATAAACAACTACTGATGTTGAAATATTTAGACAGCTGGCTGATCGGTGCCTAGTGGCTTAGCCCGACTAAATTATATGAGTGTGAGGTGTTTAAAAAAAATGTGTTTAGCTGTGAAGTTGTCACAGAGCCTTTCTGTTAGTTTACATTGCTGCTGCCGTCTAATTATTTTTCCTTTTTTCTAGACACATTTCAGCAGCGACGCTATGTTTTAGTCTTCTCTGTTGAAGTAACAGACGATGTACGCAGCATCCGCTTCGGTGTTCGTAAGTGTACGTACGTGAAACGTGTCGTGACATGTTTTTATTCTTTTAAAAATGCCTTTCTTTTGAAGAAAATGTCTCTTTGTAACAAACAGCCTTTGGGACTGCTGATCCTGGAGCTGCTGATTGCGTCCAAGACGAGAGCACAACCACTGTTAGACGTTTGAAACACTGACTGCCATTTAAACTAGATCTAAGCTAATCCGCTTCTCTTTTCAAGGCACAACCTGTACATATATAGAGAGATTTTCGTTTTTCTTCTATTGATGGTATTCTCCCTGCACTTTACTAGAACTTTAACTGGATATATGTTGCAGACTCGACTTTAAATGCTCATAAATTCAGCTGGAATCCATGGTCAGTGTTGGCAAATAGTCTCAAACTGCCACTTGTGTTATGTATTTCTCTATTTGTCTGTCGACTTGAGCCAGCAGCTCTCACATCCTGCTGGTCTCAGTGCATAGTAAATGAGCACTGTATTAGTACACAGATAGCCAGGAAACCTTCAAACTGGCCATAAAAGAACAAGGTACTTGAATGAAATGAAACGACTGGTTTATGTTCCGCTAAGTCCTCTAAAACAGAGTTATTTTAGCCTTTGAATTATAAATCAAACCTTAAATATCCATATGAATCTTTCCGATTGGGTGATTTCACTTGCATAAATACACAGGTGGTCAAGCTGCTTGAGGTCACATAAGCAGTAACAAAAACATGTGGATTTATTTGTGTAAATCCATTTTTAAAATCTAAATCTTTTTGCTTTTTTCCCACTTATGTTATGCCACATGTGTAGGGTGCTCTTCCACTTGTTCCAGATCATTTCAATGTAAGCTTTTTTTTTAAAAATATGGATAAAGGTCGAACAGAAAGTCTCAACGTCACTTTATTTTAAAGACGCCGTTCGCGAGAATAAAGCCGGTCTTTACTCTCGCGGAATGGTTTTGATGTGTAGAAATACGATGCCAAATTACATCAGACACGTCTCTGTGTTTTTGGAGAGGGATGGAGATATGATACGGGACAGCAGGTCGTGATTTCTCGTCGGATTTTAGAGACAGAGTAGCTATTCCACTGTACGCCCAGCAGCACAAGATTTAGTTTCTTATATGTAAATCTTTCAAAAAACACTGTTAAAAAGGGAGACCTTGACTTTTATATTTTTGTTTTATTCCGGTCATTTTTACCCACTGGATACTTCTAAATCACACATGAAATTATTATTTCCCGGACTTAAAAATGTCAAGGTTTCTCTCAAAGTCTATACAAGTCCTCTTATCATCATTAGAAGCAAATTAGCTGGATATGAAGTTGCCTTGGAAGCAATGGACCAGTTCATAGAACCACTTTATTATTTTTAGTTAAAACTAATTAAGGATGGAGTATTTTCTTTGACATCCATCTGTTTGATTTGGCCTTTTATGAAGAGGCCGCCTTTCCCAGGCATGGATTTTTCTATTTTTGTTGAGGAATAAATTGGATCCATGAGCAGGGGGATATTAGAGCAGGTGAACGCTGTCTCACTGTGTGATTTGATGGCTCGTTGTAGTCTCTAAAGCTTTTACCTGACGCCTTTTGTAATCTGTTAACTCTGATCGCAGACCCTAACAAGGCTGCGATCAGAAAAGCACAGAATGTATCACTTTAAATGTACAAATATATATTTTTCTTTTGCCAAATCTTTCATTTTCTGTCTGCCATATTCTGCCTAAGCTCATGTTTACAGAATTGTTCTCTTTCTCGTAACCCAGTTTGAATTCCTTTGACTCCGGAGTTATGAAGACTGGACTGCTGTTCTTGAATAAATGACTCTGTTCTCATTGGCTCCTCCACCAGTCACATGACTATTTCTGCTCACCTTTTAACCAATAGAAAAACTTCAATCGTTGCGACAACAAAAGCAGTATTTTAAAACATCAGTGTGTTATTTTGGTCATATCTAACATCACAGTACTTAGTAACAGTGTAGTGGAAGTAAAACGTGCTTCATACAGAGCAGATATGGTCATTGTGGACTGAAAAGGCAAACATCAGTGTTTTTGACAGTTTGTCTATTGTGACCTCACGAGTGCAGAGAAAAGCAGAAATATTATAAAAGTTCAACATTTTTTTAAAGAAATCAATGTGTGCATATTACTGTAAGGACACTGGAGAAAGGCTTCAGCTCATTTTAAAGAAACCGTGCAACATTTTGGGAAATGTTAAAGCTAATGCTAGCAGCCGCTTAGCTTAGCAACTGTACTGGCTGTAGCTTAACATGGAAATGTGATCGTTTGTTGTTCAGTTGAAATGTTGTAGTCACTTTTTATAGTTATTACTTTTTAATCCAAGCTAAATACGTTCTTGTTTAATTGCATTTCAACACATAGGTCAGAAGCCTTAACTACAGCACTAGCTATTGTGAAAAAAAAAGTAAACCTTCGTTATATAATTTTTAAACAGTGAGAGCATACAAAATATCCACATATTCCATAATATTCCCAAGTGTTTAGCTGTTATCACACCTGTCTACAAACATTGTTTGACCTGGGATGGTTAAAAGGACATTTTTGTTTCTTAAAGGCCACTAAAAGCAGCACATAACAATATTAATGTGTGGTCAGACCCAAAGCAGATTCTCACCTCGGTAGCTACATGATTGTTTGAGACATTTAGTTTTTAATAAGCTTTTAACCAATTAACCTTTTTGAATTGACAGCAGCGCTTTCAGTCACCAGTACGGAGATTCAGTGATAAAAATGAGTCTGTATATTAGCTTAAAAATACTAGAAAGCTACGAATGTTTCTCAAAATGTCAAAATATGTTTGAGAGTGTACCTGCCGTTATTAGAACTTGTCAAAAACAGTGGTGTTGTCCTCTAAATGTTCCCCAGCGTTGAAGCTGCTGTCCTCGCTGTTGTGTTAATGATATCGCTCCTTTAACTGTGTTACTGTTGATTAAGGGGTTTTAAAAGCATTTTAATCATCAAGACCGAGTACAGCACTCACTGTACCAGAGACACATTGTCTCAAGGCTTCAAACAGCCTAACATCATTTATTTTATAACATTTAAAAATGAATCCTGTCCAGTCCTGTTTTATGGACTGCGTCATAAAACTCGGTACAGTCAGATATTGGAGAAACACTGCAGTCATTACAGCATTTTATTCGTTTGTCATCTGTGACTTCCTCTTTGTTTTCTCCAATTTTCTTTTGTCAAAGAGGAATTTGTATACAAATGATTGAAATGTACAGTGAATAAAACAAAAACCACTGAGTTTTTAAGAGACATGTCTATTGTAAAGGATAATGTAATGTACATTTTTTTAATTTAAGTAAATGAATTTAAGGTATTTTTGCTCTTGTTTCTCTTTTGTTCAGTTTTAGCTCCTAGCTGCAGTATCTCCACACGACCACAAGAGGTCACGATGAGACCTCGTGACAGGCTCAATCAGCCAAGAGGGTATTTGTTGTGTATTAGTAAAAAGACATTAATGAAGCAAGGGACAGAGGATACGGGTACTAAGCTCTTTACTGTTGTTCATGCTTCTCCTTCCGCCACAGCATCAACTCCCGGGCATACACTTATTCTCTCCACATTGTAGGTTACTCTGGTTACACGGCGCCCCCTATTGGCAGGAGTATATCAGAACACAACAGTATTTACTTCCTGACTTCCACAGGGGGGGTCAAAAGTCAGGGATAGGATAACTGCTTTAGGATATTTCAGTACCTCTGTAGGAATAAAAACGGTGGGTGTTTGTTATTCTTTAATTCTATGTTGATTCGACGGCCAATCAATAAGGAGGAGGATGGAGATGTGTTGGCATTCAGTCTTGCACGTGGCCTCGGGAAACATTTGTTTGCCAAGTGACCAAGCTGAGAACTTCGGTAGTATCTGATACTTCCAATAGCTTGTGGAAATAAGTGTATAGGCGCAGCCCTCTTAAGGCTATCGCTATTGGGTAATCCCCACTGCACGTGTGCAGCACTGACAGACTTATTCCACGCCCACCTATGATGTGGGCCCCACCTCCAGGCTCACTTCCGTATAAATAGGAAGTAGGCCCTACAATCCACTCCAACAGCTTTTCTTCAGCTATTCGCGGAACCAGTGGGGCCCGAACCTTAGAGGGCTGCGCATATACTCATAGAAGCTGAGTTACATTACGTAACCCCAGTTCTATATCGTATAAGGCTTCGCCCTCTAAGGCTATCGCTATTGGGTTAAGGGCGAAGCAGGATGTAGTCTACGCCCCACTGGTTCCGTCCGTTACCAGAAGCACAAAACACACCTACTCAGTTAATAACCCATGTCCATTTTGCCGTGCGTAAATGGAGCATCACCTTCCCAGGGAAAATATCATTAAAAAATGAATATTTCTCCATCAGGGAACGAAGGTAGGCTTACTCGGGCTACCTGTCATTTCTAAAAAGTAGAGATCGAGTCTCACTTGTTTAGGAACAATCAAGAGAGGGGAACAAAAAGCCGCTCTCTCAGTGCCGACAGGCAGGAGAGAGGGCCTGCAATCGAAAAACCCCCGACATTACTCATTCTGGCAGGCTATTCAGTACTGAATGTGTCAGAGATGATTGGGAGACATCCCTCAAATAAAAACGAATAAAAGAACAGGGTGAAGACCAAGATGCAGCAATGCAAATGTCTTCCACTGTCATTCCTCCGTGCAACGCCGTATAAGTTGATATTCTCCTGGTGCTGTGCGCTTTAATGTTTTCTGGGGGATCCAACCCAGAGGAAACATACGCCTGTGACACGGCCTCACACAGCCAGTGTGACAGGCGCTGTGCAGATAGAGGCTGCCCTAATGAGCGCTCTCTATAATTTACAAATAGACGCTGGGATTTGCGTAAAGCAGCCGTGCGTGCAACATAGCATGCCAGCGCGCGCACGGGACAGAGGAGATGAGATATGGCTTCTTCTTCTGACGCGTGAGGAGGAGGAAAGAAGCCCTCCAAGGTTATTACTCTCGATCTAAACGAGCTTGTGATCACCTTTGGCATAAAAACCGGGTTCGGGCGCAACACCGCTGAGCTGCCATCTCCTTGGATCTGGAGACATGACGGAGCCACAGAGAGAGCAGACAAATCACTCACCCTTTTAGCTGATGTCAGAGCCAGGAGCAGAGCTACTTTGGCTGACAGAAACTTCAGGGGAACCTGATCCAATGGTTCAAAAGGGGCTTCACTTAGTGCGCGCAGCACTACAGCCAAATCCCATTGAGGCGCTAAAGCGCGTGATATCGGTCTGAGTCTCTGTACTCCTCGTAGGAAACGTTTTGTCAGAGGGTGACTAAACACCGTGCTGATCCCAAAACCTCCATGGCATGAAGAAATGGCAGCCGCATATGTTTTTATTGTGCTATAGGCCAAATTCCTGTCCAGCAACAGCTGGAGGAATGACAGCACGTGAGGCAGGGGACACTCAACGGGGTCCACACCTTTCCCTACACACCAACGCTGGAACGCTGTCCATTTGGCTGTGTAAGACGCCCTGGTGGACGCGGCTCTAGTCCCTGAATAGTACTCACAACATCTTGAGAGAGGCCGAGCCCCTCTAAGTGTTCCCGTTCAGGGGCCATTCCCACAAACGTTGGCCTAACACTGGGTGACCGCTGATTGCTCCCTCCGCCTGGGAGAGAGCATCCCCCCGCCACGGAATTTCCCACGGTCTCCCTGACAGCATCCTCTGTATGCAGGGAAACCAGGACGCTCCCGTGCGCTCCGGGGCTATTAAGACCGCTATCAGTCGCTCCTCCTGCACTCGGTCCAGGAACCGAGGGATCAGAGGGACTGGTGGGAAAGCGTACAGTAACACCCTGGGCCAAGGTCTGTGTGCGAACGCGTCCACCCCCAGAGGGGGGTGATCCTGCCTTCTCAGGGAGAACCAGAGAGCACATTGCGCGTTCCCGCGTGCAGCGAACAGATCTACCTCCGCTCTCCCGAACCTGCTCCACACTTGGGAGACCAGCTCGGGGTGGAGGCTCCAGTCCCCTTGTCGAGGACCTCCTCTGGACATGAGGTCTGCCCCTCTGTTCAGCTCTCCGGGAATATATACTGCTCTGATCGAGAGTATATGTGTGCGCGCCCAGCACAACAGCCGTCTGGCTGTGTCCAGCAGCTGCGCTGATCGTACACCTCCCTGACGATTTATGTAGGCTGCTGCCGCCGTCTTGTTGTCTGTTCGAATCAACACATGATGATTCCACAGCAACGGGCGAAGTGCTGGATTACTCTCCATATGGCGAGTAATTCCAGCGTGTTTATATGAAGGGACATGTGAGGCAGCCACTGTCCCCCCACTGCCTGCGACATGCATGTTCCCCCCCCACCCTGAGAGCGATGCGTCTGTAAACACCGATGTGTGTGACGTCACTCTGCCGAGGGGGACAGGACGTGGGGATTTTTCCAGTAGGTCAGATCCAAACCTACGGATAGAGGAATGCACACCATGCGTCTCTTCTGACGCACGGGGTCGATGCGCAGGCGAATAAACCACCTCTGAAGTCTCCTCATGTAAAGGAGACCCAGGGGAATCACCACGTGACCAGCTGACATCATGCCCAACAGCTGCATCACGGAAAGGGCTGTCACCACCCTGCCGGGTGTGACGCGCCTGAGGAGAGCTGTCAGATTCTCCACTCTCCGCTGTGAGAGTCGTGCTCTCATGCGGGCTGAGTTGAATTCCATTCCCAGATACATGATGATCTGGGAGGGAAGAGGACAGCTCTTCTCCCAATTGATTATGAAACCCAGGCTTGACAGGTGAGATACGAGTTTCTGGAGCGAGCCAGCAACAGCAGGTCGTCCAGATAAAATAACACTCATCCCTCCTCTGCGCAGCGGCTCCAGCGCTGTCTCCACACACTTTGAGAAAGTGCGTGGGGCCAGGGAATATTCGAACGGCAGTCGATTGAACTGGTACGCTATTCCCTGGAATGAAAAACGCAGGAATTTCCTGTGTTTTGGGATGATGGTTATGTGGAAGTAAGCATCCTTCAGGTCTATGGAGGTGCACCAATCTCCCTGGTGCACACACTCCATTACCTGTTTGATTGTCAGCATGTGAAATGGCCTTTTTCGTATCACTCTGTTGAATGCTGATAGATCTAGGATGGGTCTCATCCCCCCGGTCTTTTTCGGGATAAGAAAATAGCGGGAGTAAAACCCCTGATTTTCTTCCCCTTGAGGAACCCTGGAAATTGCTCTTTTTAACAGGAGTTTCCGCAGCTCTGACTGGAGCGCAAGACACTGTTCTTGGGATGACAGAAGTGTTTCCTGAATCCCTTTGAACTGCGGGGGGGGGGGTTAAGGTAAATTGCAGAGAATACCCTCTGCTGATCAGCCTGCTCATCCATCCGTCCATTAAACATAGCCGCCTCCACTCTGAGCACCGCTCTGAGAGCGGGCGTACCTGTTTTTGTTGTGCTGTGGTAGTCATGGTGACAAGCCATGCCAGAGCCCTTGCCGCCGTTGTTTGTGAAGCAACCCAAGGGGGGCCCCGCCCTAAAGGGCTGCGCAGGGGTCTCCACACGCTGCATCACACACCGACTCTCATCCTGTCTCTGTTTAGGAAAAAGCGCATAAACAGGACCTTGAGGCGGGTTTCCGCTCCCACTCGCGGAGGTGTGTGCAGTGCTTTTCACCTCATGCGTAACAGCCGTGCTAGGCTTAATACGACTGTGTGTAGGCACAACTGAGACAGAGGAAAAACCGCACTGCTTGCTACCCGAAAGGGTAGAAGCGGCCGATTTATATGTCAAGCCCTGCTGTCTTATAACCGACTGGTTAAATACAGCGAGCCTAGCTGTTTGCTAACCGACAGATTAGACATAGCTGGCTCAAACGGCGAGTCCCTCTGTTCATTAACCGACAGGTTAAAAACAGATGGATTATGCAACAAGTCCTGCTGCCTTTTAATCAATAGATTAATGGCAGCCGGCCTGACTAGTGTGGGGGATACGTGAGACACAGTTGCTACAGACACACTGTTGAGATTTTAATCATTTTTATTTACAATTCTCTCTTCCCACATAACCACCCCAAAGAGTCATCTTCGGTTCTGCTTCCTCGGAGGTTCTCTCGGAGGAGCAGACCAGGAGCGGGGGTTCTTCCTTCCCCTTCGACTCGTCGCCTGCAGATCCTGTCTCTGCGGCGGAGGAGCTGCCGAAGGGCGAGTCTGACGCTGTTGTTGCTCTCGCCACTGTCCGCGCTGCCCCCGTTGAGACTGTTGCGGGGGCTGCGGGTGCTGTCGTTGCTGACGCTGCTGTTGCTGAGGACGCTTATCCTGAAGCCAGCTAGCGTGACGCCTTATGTCGTCTGCCTGCTCTGCCGC